CCTGATCTCAGGCAATAGGGTCCTTTAGTAATGCCAGGCGCTCACAGTAGTGGCGGGAGAGAGGACTGGGATAGGAGATAGAACAGCAACCGGAGTAGCAAAGGAAATTCCTTTTTTCTGAGTTTAGAAGATTTGAGAGGGCACTAGACTGGACAGACAGAGCAGTAACTCGGGAAGTTGATCCTAGTGTCCCGCCCTACCTTAGGACTATTGCATGCTAGTTCAGCAACATGTGGGAGGTACTAGATGGGATATGGGGTGTCTGAGTTCCTGTTCCATTGCTGTGAAGAGACACCATGACTGAAGTAACTCTTGGAAAGTATTTAATTAGGCTTGTTTACACTTTCAGAGGCTTCATCCATTATGACAGGAAGCATGGCAGCAGGGAGCATGGTGGCAAGCAGGTGTGGGGCTGGAAAATAGCTAGCTCCCTAATGACTAAACTTTCAAATAGATGAGGCCATGGGGCTTCTTATTCAAACCACTCTTCAGTTCAGCCTCAGACAGATTTTTAGGACAAGGGCAGAAAGCAGCCACACTCTTTCCCAGAACACAAGAACAACCTCTAGGTCACTCACTCGTATTCTCCCCTGGAACCCATTAAGCTGGGCTGTCACAGTCTACGCTGCTCTCGGGCACTCCCCTCCATGCTTCTACCAGCTTGGTTCTTTCCGCCTTGCTGAAAGCATTTGACTCCCTTCCTAACCCAGAGTCTCAAAGCCCACATTTCACCAACACAGAGCATAGTTAGGCATGTCACAGAAACACCTCTTCTGGAACCAATTTCTGTCTTAGTCGCTGTTCTGTTGTTGTGAAGAGACACTGTGACCAAGACATGACAGAACGCCTGGCCACAGCCAGGTGTGGTGCAGGACAGCTTCATCACGATCCTCAGGTAGACCGAGAGCTTGGGCCTCACATGGGCCTTTGAAACCACAAAGCCTATCACACCCAGTGGCATACTTCCTCCAGTGAGGCCACACCTATTCCAACAAAGCCCTGCCTTCTAATTCTTCTAATCATTCCGAACAGTTCGGTTCCGTGGTGTGAAGCATTCAAATCTAGAGCCTTTGGGAACCATTCCTACTGAAACCACCCCATGGAGTGTGGCTGATGCCCTCAGTAGTAGCTGCTTCTGTGAGCTAAAAGTCCCTCTCACCTTGTGATGTTATTTAACTTAATTCCTTCTTTATAAGTGTTCTCCTGGTGGTGCAGACCCCATACTTGAGAGCCTAAAGCAAGAGGATGCAAGTTCAAGACTTGAACGAGCTTCATAGTTATTCTAAAGCCAGCATGGGTAACTTAGTGAAACGTCTCAAAACAACAACCCAAAATAAGTGCATGGGGATGCAGTTCAATAGAAGAGAGCTTGCCCAGCACCAACGAGATGTTAGGTTCAGTCTGCACTAAGGGGTTTGAGGGTGAGAGTGAGGAGGTTGGGGTGGCAATGAGGGTGCGGAGGGATCATCCTCAAATATAGGATTAAAAGGAGCTTCTGTCTATAAATTTGTTCATAAAAAGGAAAGATAAAGAAAAAACAATAGCTGGGCAGTCATGGCTCATGCCTTTAATCCCAGCACTCGGGAGGCAGAGGCAGGCGGATCTCTGTGAGTTTGAGGCTAGCATGGTCTACAAGAGTTCCAGGAGAGGCACCAAAGCTACAAAGAAACCTTGTCTCAAAAAGAAAGAAAGGAAATAAGGGAAGAAAGGAAGGAAGGAAGGAAGGGAGGGAGGGAGGGAGGGAGGGAGGGAGGTAGGAAGGAAGGAAGGAAGGAAGGAAGGAAGGAAGGAAGGAAGACTTAGCAGGAAGACATAAAGAAAGAAACTACAAATACTTACAAACATTTTCTTCACATTACCAACCAAATGGTAACTAGTAACTAGCACATGGCTTGCATGGGTGCAGCAGGGGCAGTATTTGTCTGACTTCTGTAACTCAGAATGTTATACTTTTTATTTATGTTTTTTTTAACTTTTAGATTTATTTTAGGTTTACGGGTTTTTTTACTCTCATGTATGGCTATGTATCTTGTAAATTCCTGGTGCCAGAGGAGATCAGAAGTGGGCACCAGATCTCCTGGAACTGGCGTTGGAGATGGTTGTGAGCTGCAACATGGTTGCTAGGAACCAACCCTGGATCCTCAGCGAGAGCAACAAGTGCTTTTACCAGCTGAGCATTTCTCCAGCCATGTGCTCCACTCCTTTTCTTCTCTGAGCTGGTGGTTTATCAACTTCCTCTCCAGACTAAAGAACGCTTTTGAGGAGCTAGAGGAAGGGAGCAGTACTGCAGAGCAGAGTGTACTGCTCATGCGGAGGACCTGGGTGTGGTTCTCTGCACCCACATCAGCTGGCTCACAACTGCTCCGGGGGATTCAACACCTCTGGTTTTCATAAACACCTGTATGGGTGTACACTCCCTCCCCACAAACACATACACATATTTAGAGTTAACACATATATGCTTTGGAGTTTCTCTATGTAGCCCTGGCCATTGTAGAATTCTAGAAGATCAGGCTGACCTCACAGAGAACCACGTGCCCCTGCCTCTGGAGTGTTTGGAGTGGTAGCATATGCTACCATAGCCAGCATAAAGTACATATTCAAAACACGATTTTCATAACATACAGAGTAAATTAGTCCAGAGATCGGGGTTGGATAGGGTGGGATAGCAGTGGGAAAACTTCTCTGACTTCTGTTCCCTTGTGGTTCGTGTCTTTCATGAGCCCTAGTTCCTCGTTTTTTATTTAGGAAGTAGCTTCTATCCCTGGAGCCATTCTTAGGGGTCAAAGCTGTTAGATGACTTCTTAATGTCTACCCAGTTATTCCAAGTACTAAGGGATGCACAAATGGGGAAATGAAAATGAAATGAAAGAACCAAAGTGATACTTTAAACAACAAAATACATTTTAAAATATTTTAATAATTAGAGAAATATTGTTGGTAGTGGGAGTAAATATTTCAAGTGGAGAAAACTCTATTTTGTGATCTAGAGAGAATGAGAGATAACAGTTAAGGACAAGTATTAAACAGGCTTCCCACCCAGAAACATGGAGATTTTTACCTATGCGATGGGATCTCATATAGGCTAGGCTAGCCTTCATCCTACTGGTGGCTAAGAATGACCTTGAATGTCTGAACCTTTGAGCTTTACATTCCAAGTTCTGGGCTTCTAGACAGATATGCACCACCATACCCAGCTTTATGTGGTGTTAGGGACTGAGCCCAGCACTTTATGCAAGCTAGACACACTCTACCAAGTACATCCCAGCTCTTGAGGTTCCACAAGAATTCTGTTTGGTTTTTTGAGACAGAGTCTCTCTGTGTCACTCTGGCTATCCTGAAACTCACTCTGTAGACCAGGCTGGTCTCAACCTTCGAGATCCTCCGGCCTCTGCCTCCTAAATGCTGGGATTAAAAATGTGCACTTGTGACTACATTTTAATTTTATTAAGTGTTAATAACCACATGTGACTATTCTGAGTATTGTTGGATTCTAGATGATGATGATAGACTAAATGAGCTGCTAATTTTTATTTGATCCAATTTAAAGTTAGGTGGATATTAAAACATAAAAAGAAGCAATGGGAAATAGTAAAAGCCAACATTTAATGTGTGGTTATAATTATAATTATAGTGCCAGGTACTTAACAAAACACTTAACCGTATTTTATATGATCCTTGCAAGAGTAGCAAATAAATTACTCTAATCATTTTCCAAATGAGAAAATTTAGGCACAGAAATTTTCTTGGGGCTGGATGACATGTACTGGTATATTATTTGTAGTTGATAAATAAATCTTGCCTGAAGACCAGAGGCAAAGCTAAAGCCACTAAAGGTTATTAAAGGCATGTGCCACTATGCCTGGCCCTAATGATTCAAAAAGGCCTAATAATGATAATAATAATGTAAATCAATTAAAAATAAAAAAATTAAAAAGAGCAGTCAAGTCGGGTAGCAGTGGCAGAAGCAGGCCTATCTCTGTGAGTTTGAGGCCCGCCTAGTCTACAGAGCAAGACCCAGGACAGCTAGAGAAACCCTGTCTAGAAAGACCCCCTCAAAAAAAAATAGATATTTCCTATTGAGGTTTTTTTTTTTCTCTTTCTTTCCACCCCCCCCCCACCTCCCCGCCCTACCTGCACAGACTGGCCCAGGCTGGCCTCAATCGTTACTACTACTACTACTATTTAGACAGGGTCTCACCTTGAGCAGCCCTGGCTGGCCCGGAACTTAGAGATCCCTTGCTTCTGTCCTGATCTCTGGGGTTAAAGGTGTGTACACCGGCTTTCCAGCTATTAAACTGGTGCGTAGTTAAGGCTCAATAGATATTTTTAAGTGAATGAGAAAAATAGGATTGAGAAACAGTGGCTTGAGTTGTGGTAAAACAGCAGGCAGGAGAGAGCTCCCAGGAGAGAGGAGAGAGGCAGAAAAAGGATTTTGAGATCTAAGTAAGGTTTGGTTAAGGAGGAGGAATTTCGAATGCTTAGCACAGCGGTATACTGTTTAGGTGCGTGTGTATAATTCTGTTGCGTGAATTTTCTTCCGGACAGTTCTCAGGGTTGGCAGAATTGCCTGGACCCGGTACGGTGCATCCATTCCATTTGTCGCCAATCCTGTCTGGGTCTAGGAGCCAAGGAGTCTAGACCCAACCTCGAGCTGTGTGTTCCCGCAGATCCGGGAGGCACCAAGTCAGCCCTGTCTCCCGCGTGGCCCCACTTCCCTATTCCCGAAAGTAACTTAGTCAACTTTTTGCTTCATTCTATTCTAGGATTGCACAACCTATGGCTTGAATTTTTTTCGCTTTCCAAATTCTTACACAATAGCTCAGGGGAGAATGGAGTTGCAGGTCGGGGGTTCCGGGGCTCTCCACCCTGCGTCTAGTCCTCTGCCCACACAGGCCTCCTTTCCTGGGTGGGAGGACCGTGACTGTGTGCGGGGTCGAGATGCTGGGTGCCCTAGACTCGGAGAGGACTCCGGGGAGGCTTCCTGCCACACCTCTGGATGAGGGTGTGTCACCATGGAGACGAGGCCGCTGCCATTGGCTGGCGCCTCCGGCCGGGGCTATAAAGCCGGGCCCGGAGCACCGTGCACTAACAGCGTCGGCCAGACTCGGGCGGTGTCGCCCGCGGAGCGGAAAGGGCAGGATCTCGGCGCGGCCGTCGGTGACACCATGGAGAACAACGAGTGAGTGTGGGGCCCGGGGACCGGACGCTCTGCCGAGTGGACGGGCAGTCGCCGAGACCTGGGAGCTTAGCGGGCTGGGCCCAGGCAAGGAGCGAGCCCGCCGCGGGGGACGCGGAGAGGCCTGGCGCGGAGCCCGGCGGCGGACTCGGGGTTCCGGAACGCTGGGGCGGGCGGGCGGGCGGGCGCGGGAATCCAGCTGCCCGGCGCCCGGAGCAGGAAGGAACAGGTTAGCGCAGTGTAGGCGACTCCTGTCGGGAACTGGTGCCTCTGTGTGTGCTGGGATGCTTGTGGAGAAGCAGGTACAGCCCTGGCCACTTCATAACACAACTTTGCATTCTAGAGGTCCAGGTAACCAGAACATAACTCTCTTGTGCTAGCCCGGAGTTCCTCCTCTAGAAGGAAAATTGCTCACTTTCCAAGACAGCCCCTCTCTTCCCTCCAAACTAGACGTCGCATTAACAAGTTGGGAATGGAAAGAGTCTTTGTAAGGCTGAGAAATATTTATTGATCTGCTCAGAAGACTTCCACTCTTTTCTGTCCGAAAAACAAACAAACAAACCCTCCGTTTTGCGTTGGGAATTTCCAGATTAATTCACCAGCAGAGCTGTAGGGATAACCACGGGGTCAGATGTTCTTGACGATTGCACTGTGGCTGGACATGGCCAGTTGTCATGCCCCATTTCTTCCCGCCCTTCGGGTTGCGGTTTCATTCATTTCTTGCTATTTTTGTCGCCCTGTGACTTGCTCTCTCCCCGCCCTAGCTGTTTCATCGAGGGTAACCTGTTGTGTTGCCGTCCTCTTTGTCTCCTATAATTAATTATTCTTGTGACTGTGTGCGTGACAAAGACCTCCTATACTTCCAGGCTGGGCTCCTTATCCTATAGTCTGGGGCTGCCGCTGGGATTTAAGACTTTCTTGCTGGAAGAAAAAAAAAATCTTGTTGAGTTTTTTTTTTTAATTGTGCTCAATTTTTATTTTTATTTTTTTTTGGGGGGGGGAGGTTTCAAGACAGGGTTTCTCTGTAGCTTTGATGCCCATCCTGGAACTAGCTCTTGTAGACCAGGCTGGCCTTGAACTCAGAGATCCGCCTGCCTCTGCCTCCCAAGTGCTGGGATTAAAGGTGTGAGCCACCGCTGCCCAGCTAATTGTGCTCAATGTATGTTCCAAGTCAAAGAGCAATTTTTAATCTTTACAGTTAGTTGTGATGGAACTGGACTTGGGACTGTGAGTGAGAAGGTTCTGGGTTGTGTTTTTTTTTTTTTTTAACCCTTTGGTTTCTTGAGACAGGATTTCTCTGTATAGCTCTGGTGCCTGTCCTAGAACTCGATTTGTACACCAGGCTGGCCTGGGTCTCACAGAGATAAATCTGCCTCTGCCTCCCGAGGGCTGGGATTAAAGGTGTGCACCACTCCTGACTTTTTAGCAAGTTTAACAAACATGTCCAGAGGAACTAAGGCTCTTAATAGACTTCTACTAGGAGTGTTCTCATTGCTTATTAATAAGTAATAAAAATAAAAAGCTCAGGGCTGGTGACATGACTCCAAAGGTGAAGGCGGTCACTGCAAACCCTGCACGTTCCGTCCTTGGGACCCAACCACTGACACGCACACACGTATGCTCCAATTAAGTCAAACTTTTTTTTGTAAAATATTTGTTTATTATGTATACAATATTCTGTCTGTGTGTATGCCTGAAGGCCAGAAGAGGGCGCCAGACCTCTTTACAGATGGTTGTGAGCCACCATGTGGTTGCTGGGAATTGAACTCAGGACCTTTGGAAGAGCAGGCAATGCTCTTAACCACTGAGCCATCTCTCCAGCTCCCCTAAATCAAACTTTTAAATTAAAAATTAAATTTAAAAAATTTCACCTGTGCTGGGTGGTGGTGGCGCATGCCTTTAATCACTCAGGAGGTAGGGGCAGGCGGATCTCTGTGACTTTGAGGTCAGCCTGGTCTACAGAGTGAGTTCCAGGACAGACGGAGCTACCCAGAGAAATCCTGTTTCAAAACAAAACTAGAAAAAAAAATTTCATCCAAAGAGCTGCCTAAAGTCCTAGTTACTCTAGTGGTAGGCTGGGGTGAGAAAAATCATTGAGCCCAGGAGTTGGAGATTAGTGTAGGCAAAGTAGAGAGACTTCTTTTGTTTGTCTCAAACAAACAAACAAACAAAAAGCAAAACAAAAGGCAAGAAACTGGCCTTTGGGAAGGCCTTAATTCATTCTGAGTCCTCTCTGTGGTTTGATTCTGCATCATAACTCTGAAACCTGGTTCTATGTCTGTCACCAGGAGAGGTATGGGCCTCCTAGTACTGGGTGCAACTTAGTGGCAGAGCCCTGCGGGGTGCATTAATGAAACAGGCTACATTAACTTTTCTCGCGCTCTGGGATGAAGGGTGTTTCACATCAGACGGTTAGTGGGTCAGTTCAAAGGAGAGATGGGGAAGTGGAGGAGTAAACAGTCCTCTGCTGCGGTAGAATACCCGCCAGGTTTTCTGCGTTAACAGCCATTTTCCTATGTACTTGGAACAGCAGATGAACTCACTTTGTTTCCTTCCCCCCAGATTCTCTTACGAAGATTATCAGAGCACTGCTGAGTGGCTTCGGTCTCACACTACACATCGACCTCAAGTGGCGGTGATCTGTGGTTCTGGGTTAGGAGGTCTGACTGCTAAGTTAACTGAGGCCCAGGTCTTTGAGTACACTGAGATACCCAACTTTCCCAAAAGCACAGGTACTGGCTGGGACTGGGTGGGTGAAGAGACGCGATGACAGAGGAAACTCTAGGGAAAGAAAGCATTTACTTGGGGGCTTTCTTTCCGTGCCTGAGGTTTAGTCCATTATTGTGTTGTGGAGCATGGCGGCAAGCTTGACACTAGAGCCACAGACAAGAGCTACGTCCTAAGGCCAAGCCTGGCCCCAGTGACAGACTTCTCCAACAAGGCCACACCTCCCTGGTGACTAAGAGTTCGAGTCTATGCACTTTGGGGCCATTCTTTTTTTGTTTGTTTGATTGCTTTGTTTTGTTTTTTTGTTTTTGGAGACAGGGTTTCTCTGAGTTGCTTTGTAGACCAGGCTGGTCTCAAACTCACAGAGCTGCCTGCCTTTGCCTCCCATGTCCTGGGATTAAAGGTGAGCACCATTATCAACCAGCGTGGGGGCCATTCTTATTCAAACCACCATAATGAACTTATGTGGAATCTAATCAAGGAGATGTTTCTACTTTTGTCCTATCATTTGACTACTGTGGAATCAGAATGACTTTAGAAAGGAATTGCCCTGATTGAAGTTCTACATTGTGTGGGTATATGTTAAGGTGGTGAAATTCTATAGTATGTCCTGTGCGTGTGCTGCCTTGGTGAGATTGCTCAGCAGGAAAAGTTGCTGTAGCAAGGAGCTGCTTGTTCATCCTGGCCGCCCAGGACTGAAATAACTACACAAAAACTATTAATTAAAACACTGCTTGGCCCATTAGCTCCAGCTTCTTATTGGCTAACTCTTATATTAATTTATCCCATTTCTATTAATCTGTGTATCACCACATGGCAGTGGCTTACTGTCAAAGATTCGGCACATCTATCTCTGGCAGCAGATCCATGGCGTCTCAGACTCCTCCCTTTCTCCCAGCATTCAGTTCTGTCTTCCTCCTAAGTTCTGTCCTAGCAACAGGCTAAGGCAGTTCCTTTATTTACCAATGAAAGCAACACATAAACAGAAGGACCTACACCAGTTACCTGTCCTTAGACATGATGTTCCGTCCCCAAGATCCATGTACTGAAAGGAAAGAACTGACTCCCTCCAGCTGCCTTCACACCACAACGCTCCCGCGTGCATGCACACACACACACACACACACACACATACAGACCTGTTTGCACAAACACTCTGTCGCTCTCTCTCCTCCAGTCTGTGGCTTCAGTGGAGGAAGCAGTATCTGAAGCCACGGACAAGGACCCATCCGTTCCCAGTGTCTCCTGCCATCTGTCATCTCCGTCCACAGAGTAGATACACATGACGACAGTAACGCTATGGCCACCATGTGGTTATGTACACACACAGGGATTAGTATAGAGAACACGTGGTTACAGCAGCTTTGGAAAGGGACCCATATGCCCCATTATTATGGAGCTCTGACATCTCAGTGTAGCCCTGCGACCGCAGCCTGGAAACATGGGCTCAGGTTAGAAAGGCCAGGTGAAACAGGGCAAGCAAGAGTACTTGATTTTTGCTTTTTTAAAACATTTATCTCCTTTGGTGCAAGTTTGGAAGGCCAAAGTAGGGAGGTATGGGGATAAGGAGTAGAAAGGTAACGTTAAAGAGAGAAGAGCAAAGGGCAAGAGTTGTGGCATCGACCGCGTCTGCCACTCCTTCCAGACGAGAGCCCTAACTGACGAGTTGCTTTGAAGTTGATTGACTTACTTTTCATTTGGGGGATTTTTCAGGTATGTCAACTTGTTCTATTACTAGTATTTTCTTATGATTCTTCTTGGTTCTAGTTCCTCTTCCTGGCAGATAGATCCATTCCTTCAAGAAGTTTAGCTAGAGGACACTGTCAGATGGGGATGGTGATAACGGTTAATCCTGCTCCCTAGCCCCAGTTCTCTGCGTGGGTATTGTAAGAACGAGTTGTCTGGGTCTCAAACGGACTCTTCCTCCTTGTTCGACTTTGGGATGCTGGCATAGTTAGAGTTGATTATCAGACACAGCTTAGAACTTGGGAAATCTCAGGTAAGGCCTATAGTTACTGAGTCCATTGATTCTAACTTTTGCTCCTTCACATATGAGTTTCTCTTTGACACGCCATGTTTTGCTGATACTCATGGAAACCTGCCCTTTGCCAAACAGAACTGAAGGAGTAGAAGATCGGGGTGTGGGAGCAGAGGGGGTGGGGAAGGGAGTGGAGGAGAGGAGGGAAGGAAAACTGTGACCAGAAGAATGTAAAACAAAGAAACAAACACAAGTTTCTCCATCTTTGGAAACATCTTTTGAAACCCTTTCTGTTGTTTTGTTAATGTTCACATCAAATATTCTTACCTCACACCTAGTTCCGTTTGTATGATTATGACAACCTGGTCACCAGACTTCTGTTGTCCTGTGTTTAATTATATCATCTTACATTAAACACGAGTGGTTTCTAGTAAGTGCCAGTGTGTGTGTTGCAGGAAAGAATGGTCACGGTTTGAGGCGGGCTCTCACTCTGTGTCCCTGGCGACCTGGAACTGACTGGGATCTGCCTGCTTCTGCCTCCTGAGTGCCATCACGCCTACCATCATCACTTTGCTTTTCCTTTTCTGTTTGCAGTGCCGGGTCACGCTGGCCGCCTGGTGTTTGGATTCCTGAATGGCAGAGCCTGTGTGATGATGCAGGGCAGGTTCCATACCTATGAAGGCTACTCACTGTCTAAGGTGACATTCCCAGTGAGGGTTTTCCATCTTCTGGGCGTGGACACGCTGGTAGTCACCAATGCAGCTGGAGGCCTCAACCCCAGCTTTGAAGTTGGAGACATCATGTTGATCCGGGATCACATAAACCTACCTGGTTTCTCTGGCCAAAACCCTCTCCGCGGCCCCAACGATGAAAGGTACGTATCTGCGCCCTTTGCTCTCGATGCAGGGGTCCAGATTTGTCCAAGAGTTGGGGAAGAAAGCCCACTGGTGCCATTTGTCTGTGTTCCAGGTTTGGCGTCCGTTTCCCTGCCATGTCTGATGCTTATGACCGGAATATGAGGCAGAAGGCTTTGAACGCCTGGAAACAAATGGGGGAGCAGCGGGAATTACAGGAAGGCACCTACGTGATGCTGGCGGGTCCCAACTTCGAGACTGTGGCGGAGAGCCGCTTGCTGAGGATGCTCGGAGCAGATGCTGTTGGTGAGAAGCGAGATTTGGCTGGCTGGGGACTGGAGGCAAGGATCTGGTCAAATAGCGAAGTGGGGGACAAGGTAATGGATCTGGGGAAGGAGGAATTGGGTTTCTGGGAACGTGGTGGACCAGCTTGAGTTTCAACAGCGACAGACATCAGCACAGCTGCCTTCTGCACCTGTGGCTGGAAGTTGACCTCACATCCTAACTGAGATGAGCACCAGAGTATAGAAACTAGTCGGGCTACTGGAGAGACACGTGCTCCACACTCATTTAGCTGCTTTCTGAGCTTTAGTGAATTAGGAGCGTGGCGGCTGAGGAGAAGCACATGACGGTCCTCTTCTCCCTCTCCCTGTCAGGCATGAGCACCGTCCCAGAAGTCATTGTCGCCCGGCATTGTGGGCTTCGTGTCTTCGGTTTCTCACTCATTACTAACAAGGTCGTCATGGATTATGCAAACCTGGAGAAGGCCAATCACAAGGAAGTCTTAGAGGCTGGGAAAGCAGCCGCACAGAAACTGGAGCAGTTCGTCTGGATCCTCATGGAGAGCATTCCGCCCCGCGAGCAGGCTGCCAGCTGACTGGAGTCCACGTAGGAAAGAGGAGGATTCCTGCCCTTCACCTCCCCTTGCTCTTCTTCCACCCTTCTGATGTCTGTCCCTCTTGCTCAGCTGCCTTCTCAAAACAGTCCACCTTCCAGTGCTGGGAGAGCTGGAGCCCATGCCCACCACACTTGGGGTGTGTGTAAGACAGTACCTTCCAGACCTAGAGACCATACTCGTGCTCGCCTGGGCCAGTCTGGCTCCCCTAAAGGACCAGAGACCAGAGGCTAACCTGATACCTCTTGGAGTTTATCTAGCACCATAATGTTTCGAGAATAAAGAGATCAAGTACTTTCTTGTTTTGTGTAATTTGATATGAAGTTGGGGCTTAGGCCAAGATAGGCTTGAGAAACCTTGGGCCCACATGTCTTGTCTGATTCTCTGATTTTCAGAAGTAGCTAAGGATGGAGAAGAGGTGGCCGGTGGGGAGCAAAGGATGAAGGTGGAAGAACGGGGATGTAAGGAGCAGAGTGACTTTAAACTTGCCCCTGTCCATCACTCTGCTTTGCTCCAGTTGCGTTCCTGAGCATCTGCATCTCAAGGCTCTCACTTCTTGTGTCTTAGCTGCCACTTTCTTATTGCATTCCTTTTTAATTTTTCTTGTTTTTATTGTGCTATACATTTTTCTCCATTATTGCATTCTTTTTATCCTGCTAGTTTTTCAGCCATATTATTTCCCACCCCATCCTGACAGTGAAGCAGCAGCTACCTTCTGCTGTTTTTCACACTGCTGGCCAAGTTCTTTCCAACCCCAGCCAAGCCTGTGAAGTTGGGTCATACTCAGTTTCTCCTTAAGCACTATGTGATGGCTATTCTTGGTTGTCAACATAACTACATCTGGAATTAATTAAAACCCAAAAATAGATGGCCCAGCTGTAGGGAATTTTGCTTATTTGAAATGGAAAGGTCTGCTTCTAATCTGGACACCTTGAATTCAGATCTTGAGTTGGGAAGACACACCTTTAATCCAGATCTAATCTGGACCACTCCTTCTGCTGGAAGCTGATGAGGACGTGGAAGAAGGAAGCTTTTGCCCTTTGCCTGCTTCCCTCTCCTTGCTAGCAAGTCCACTCCTTTACTGGCTTTACAGTCTACTTCTTCAGGATTCCAGCACACTGAAAACCAGATGAGACCTCCAGCCTCGTGGACTGAGCAACTACTGGATTCTTGGACTTTTTGTTCATAGTCAGCTAGTGTTGGATAAGCCTGTAAGTCATCCATCTATACATCCATCCATCCATCTATCCATCCATCCATCCATCCATCCATCCATCACCTTGCTTACACGTTAAGGAAATTGCACTACCCAAAACTAAACAGATCTTAAGAGACAAAAGAAATGGCTCAAAATCAAGGGAGCTAGGTCTGAGAGGATCCCCAAATCGAAAGAACTTCTTGGAACAACTAATGATGAGTCTACTCTTATGTGAGAGGACCAAGGTGCCTGCAATGGACTGGTTTTCCCTGCTTCATGGAAGGCATCAAAATATACGCTCAAATTGTATTTTTTCCTTGAGTTTACCTAGGTGAGCTTTATCACCAACAAATCCTTATGTGTGGAACATTGCCCTAAACAATTGTAACATTAATTGGTAAAAGAGGAAATAGGTGGGAAGCAGAAAATGTATATAAAAAAATAAAGAGCAAGGCTAAGATAATCATGCCGTTTGTCTGCTGATGACTTTTTACTAATCTTGTTTAACTTTATATTACTATGATTCAGAATCATCTCTTTCCACTAAACTTTGAGGACACCCTAAGTTGTGAGAGGAAAAGGAGGAATACAATAATATGTGAGAGTCAATGATCCTGCCCGCTTCTGGAATGCAAAGGAGAACTAACTTGGGGTGGGGAAGAGTCGTGGAAACAGATTCATGAGACTTGAGTTAAAGATGGTGGCAAAGATATCCCAGAAGGTACTACTTAAACACATTTGGGAATGTTTTTTTTATTTTTGTTTGTTTTTGTTTTTAAATGGCTAAACTGAAGAAATGAACAGAAAGATCAGAGGTAAAGTAGGAAAGGCAGAAGTTGTTCAGGGCTGATCTAGGCTGAGGTGTAGAAACTGCATCTCCTAGGCTAATCGATGGCCTTTCAAGTTCAATAAGCTAAAGACCTACAGCCAACAACTGCACTGATTATTTTGTCTACCTGAATGAAACAAAAACGCTATTTTTTTCAAATAGTAATTTTTGCAATAGAGTCTTGTAGCCCTAACTAGACAGTAACTCAACTGACTGTAGCTCGGAGTTACAGGTATGAGCTACAGCTTTTAATAAGGGCTTTGGGGGGGGGGGGGCAGAACAGTGCAAAAGGGGGCATGAGTGAGAAAGATGCATCAGAACATATGTGTGCTAACAATGTAACACACTGGCTGGGGAAGACAGGAGGATCCCTGGGCTCAGCGGATACTGGCAAACCTGCTTGGTGAGTTACAGGCCAGTGGAAGACTTCTGCAGGTGTCATACATGCCAGTTAGCATGTTTGATGTACTGCAGGTACATACACGCCAGTTAGCGTGTTCGCTGTACTGCAGGTACATACACGCCAGTTAGCGTGTTCGCTGTACTGCAGGTACATACACGCCAGTTAGCGTGTTCGCTGTACTGCAGGTACATACATGCCAGTTAGCGTGTTCGTTGTACTGCAGGTACATACATGCCAGTTAGCATGTTCGTGTTCTCTAACATGCTTCTTTTAATCAGCACATTTTGAGATATTTTACACAAGGTGAGTTCCTTGATCATTTAAGTCAGTGCAGCCAAGAATACATTTCATGACCTTAATTTTTTGGGAAGCCAAGGAAGTGTGAACAAAACTCTACAGGAAGAAGCTGCTCCTCAAACTGAACCTTCTGCAAGGCTGACTGTTGGGAGCTGTGGTGACTGGGGACAGTCTGGACTGTCACAAGTCCAGAGGCCGCCTTCAACCCTCTTTGATCTATTCACCACCCTCCTCTCGCTGACTGAAAGCTTTGTGCCAACCAGGAAAATCAATTGGAATGTATAGACAGCACCAGATTCCCTTTGGTGAACCCATATTGAAAGACCCTCAAAGAGGACTTTCTCTCAGGAGGAGACCTCCCCGCTGGCAAGGAACAGGCGGAGACCATACGGATGCAAATCGCAAGAGGTTTATTGGGTAAACACAGGTACCTGCGGGCTGCAAGTCTTTCGGAGGACTTGCGCGCTGGCCAACTGGAGGGCGGGTTTTTTTTTTTTTTTTTTTTT